CTTGCCATTAGCAATGCCCTTCCCCCGTCCGAGCACCCTCACTTTAGGTCCATCACTACCGCCCAGGGTTACTTAGATGCTGTCATCAAGCTCTATTCCACCCCTCCTGCTGCCTCAGTGGGTCGCCTAATCCTCCCGATGCTCTTTCCCGACCTTGCGTCTTTCCCCACTGTCTCTGACCTAGCTGCCCACCTGCGCTCGATAGATGAGACCTGGCGCGCTGCCGACACTTACGCACAGCTTAGAGCCCACCAGCCGCCCATTACCTCTACCCTCTACCTGCTTGCCACCCGCCTCCCTGACCGCCTTGCCGCCGCCCGCAACCGCTTCCTTAGCATTCACCCCGGTGAGCTCACCCTCACCGACTTTGTAGACACCCTGACTGTTACCTCAACCCTAGACGACCTGTTTCGTTAGCGCTTCGGCCCGTCGCCAGACCTCCCGTACGGGCACAGTTTGCTTAGTCGTAGGATTCAGATTTTTGACATGGACATTGATGCCATTGTTTCTGCTCTGCATGTGATGTATGCTGATGACTCTAGTGCGCTTCCCGCTTATTACTCACTGTCGTCTAGTGTATGTGTGCCTAGCTTAGCCTCCCCTGCTACGTCAGGCGTAGGATCCCCTGCTTTGTTTAGCGTTGGTGCTTCCGCCGTTGCCCCGTCGCCGGACGCCACTGCTTCGCTTTCCTTCACCTTGGACTCTGGCGCTTCCCAGTGCTTCTTCCGCGACTCTACTACGCTGACGCCGCTTCCTGTTCCTGCTGTCAATTCTCTTGCTGACCCCTCCGGCGGTCCGGTAGTCGCCCGCAGTTCCACCACCCTTCCCTGTCCGGCGGTTCCTTCGGGCTCTCTTACAGGTCTGCATATCCCCTCGTTCTCCAGGAACCTAGTTGGTGTCGGCTGCCTCCAGGACCTTGGCGCCACCACTACGTTCCCTGGTCACGAGCGGTATGCTGTCTGTACCGAGGCCGCCACTGGTGCCCCCCTGTCCACGTTCCCCCGGGACCCGGTGTCCGGCCTGTTCACTCTGGACACCGTGACCCCCCCGGCTGGGGCGCCCCCTCAGGTGGCTGCGTCTACCCAGGTTGCTGCTGCCTGCTCCTGTCGGTCCCTCACTCACCCGACTCTCCTTTGGCACCACCGCCTAGGTCACCCTGCGCTCCCGCGTCTGCGTCACATGTCCCAGCATGGTCTCGTCCTTGGTCTCCCTGGTTCTCTCCCCGCTTTTCCCTCCTCCCCAGCCCCACCTTGCACGCCTTGCGTCGATGGTCTGCTTCGCCATGCCCCTCACTCCTCCTCGTTTCCCCCTACCGCCGCGCCGCTGCAGACCCTGCACATGGACGTCTGGGGCCCCGCCCCCGTCCATGGGCCGCGTCGAGAGCGCTACTTTCTTGTGCTTGTCGACGACTTCACTCGCTACACCTCGGTCTTTCCCCTGGAGCGGAAGGCGGACGTGCCTGGCGCTCTCATCCCCTGGCTTGTCTCTGCCCGTGTCCACCGAGGTCTCCCTATCTTGCGTCTGCACTCCGACCGTGGTGGCGAGATTGCCTCAGGTGTCCTTGGTCGCTTTTGTCATGCGGAGGGCATCACGCAAACGTTCACTCTCCCGGACTCCCCACAGCAGAATGGGGTCGCTGAGCGACGCATCGGTTTGGTCATGGAGGTGGCTCGCACCTTCTCGATCCATGCCGGTGCACCCCATTTTCTGTGGCCGTTCGCTGTGCGCTACGCTTCTCACCAGCTTAACCTGTGGCCGCACCCCCAGCAGCCGCAGGTTTCGCCGACCCGTCTTTGGACTGGGTCTCCTGGTGACGCGTCTGCGTTCCACGTCTGGGGCTGCCTTTCTCACGTCCGTGCCTCCGGCACGGACAAGCTCACTGCCCGCACCCTTCCCTGCGTCTTCCTCGGTTTTCCCCTTGACACGTCCGACTGGCACTTCTACCACCCGCCATCTCACCGCTTCTTTCACTCTCGCGACGTCGCCTTTGACGAGTCCGTCTCCTACTACCGTCGTTTCCCCCACCGCGGTCCCCCGGTTACCCCCCCCTGTTCCTGGTCACTCCTTCCTCGGTAGTCCCTGCCCCTCCCCCTCCTCCTCCCCGTCCTGCCCCCTCTGGTGTGTCCCACGTCACCCCTCTTCCGTCGGTGGTCCCGGTTGAGGAGTCTTTTGACTCTGGTGGTCCTGCGGTGCAGTCCTCGCCGGCTGACCCTCCCCAGGCGTCCCCTCCTCCATTGCCTCTGCCGCCGCTGTCACCCCTGCTGTCGCAGCCGTTGTCACCTCCGCCGCCGCCGCCGCAGCCGTCATTGTCGCTGCCGCCGCCGCCGCCGTCGCAGCACCCGTTCGTTGACTCTGGGGGTGCTGGCGTTGGAGTGCGTGCTAGTCCTGGTAGCCTTGGGGGTGGTACCGGTCCTCGAGGGGTTTCGGGCCCTGGAGGTGTTCTTTCTGGGGGTGTTGGCGTGGAGTGTGCCGGTGGTAGCCGAGGAGCAGCTTGCGGTCCCGGTGTCGGCGTTGTGCCGCCGCAACAGCAGTCCCCGCCGGTGTCAGCCCTTCGCCTGCTCGGCCTTCCGTCCCCTGACCCTGCGTCTGTTCCTCTCCGGCCGTCTCCTCCTCTTCCCGTCTACGGCCCTGTGTTCCCTCAGCCGGACTCGTCCCCGGCTCGTCTTCCCCCTCGTTCCCCCCCTGTGTCCCCTCCCCTGTCTCCTGACCCGACTCATCCGTCTCACGTCTGGTCTCACCGTCCCTCCCGTGCTTGTCCTTCCTCCCCTGTCTTGCGTTCCCACCGTATGTTGCTTCGTTCCCACGCGTCTCATCCTCCCCTTCTCCCGTCGCCTCCTCCGTCCTCCCTTGTTGTTGCACCCCCCCCGCTGTCTGACTACCTTCGTGCCGCTCGTCCTCTTGTTCCTCGGGTCCTTGCCTCTCTCGTTACGGACCCGTCTGTTCCGGTCTCGTGCCTTGACGCTCTTGTAGCTGCGGTCGCTGACTTCGCCTCTACCCGCCGCCTTGACTACGCCACCGCTCTGGTCTCTGACCCTGCCTGTCCTCCGTCTGACGGGGGTGCTCCTGCCCTCGGCAGTGACGTCCTGGAGGACCGCCAGTTCGAGCTTGCTTTCCTGGCCGAGGCTGCTCCCCATCTCTGTTCCATGCTGCTAGTCCCTGAGGGTGACCCAGACGCCCTTGACATCCCGACCCCTCGCACTTACGCTGAGGCGACCTCGGGACCTTGGGCCTCGCAGTGGATAGATGCCATGGAGCAGGAGATGGCATCTTGGAGATCCACCAGCACCTTCGTCGACGCAGTTCCCCCGCTTGGGGTGAACATAGTCGATGGCCGCTAGCTCTTCAAGGTGAAGCGCCCTCCTGGAGAGCCGCCTGTGTTCAAGGCACGCTACGTGGCTAGAGGCTTCAGTCAGCGTGAGGGGGTGGACTTCTTCCAGACCTTCGCTCCGACCCCGAAGATGACTACTTTCGGGTTCCGTTACACCTAGCTGCTCAGCGTGACTACGAGCTTCACTCCTTCGACTTCTCCACTGCCTTCCTTCAGGGCAGCCTACACGAGCAGGTCTACTTGCGTCGCCCTCAGGGCTTTACTGGCACCTTCCCTCCTGGGACCCAGTGGCTCATTCGGCGCCCCCTCTACGGCCTACGCCAGGATCCCTGTGAGTGGCACGACACGTTGCGTGCTACCCTTGCTGACCTGCAGTTCTTTCTGTCTTCCGCAGACCCCTCACTCTTCGTTCGTGCTGGCCAGACTCCGTTCTACATCCTTGTTTACGTCGACGACCTGGTCTTTGCCACAGTAGACAGGGACGCATTGGCCTCAGTGAAGGCAGAGCTGCTGAAGAGACACACGTGCACTGACTTTGGAGAACTGCGCCGTTACCTTGGCTTGCAGATCTCTAGGGACAGAGCAGCGCGCACCATCACCCTGACTCAGTCACACTTGGTGCGCCAGGTCCTTCAGAGGTTCGGCCTTCAGTTCTCCTCTTCACAGCCCACCCCTCTGCCTGTAGACCACAGACTCTCTGCTCCAGTTTCTGAGGAGTCGGTAGAGCCCAGCGGCCCCTACGCAGAGCTGGTGGGTTGCCTCATGTACCTGATGACTTTCACTTGCCCAGATCTCGCATACCCTCTCAGCATCCTGGCTCGCTTTGTGGCCACAGGCAGACACCGACCGCAGCACTGGTCTGCCGCTAAGAGGGTTTTGCGTTATCTTGCTAGTACATCAGGCATGGGGTTAGTGCTAGGAGGACGTGGGCCAATGGTCCTTACTGGACACACAGACGCTTCTTGGGCAGACGACGCCGAGACACTCAGGTCTACCCAAGGCTACTGCTTCAGCTTTGGTTCAGGTGCCGTCTCATGGAGAGCTACCTGCTCCTCGTCTGTTGCCCAGTCCAGCTGTGAGGCCGAGATCTACGCTGGTGCCATGGCGGCACAGGAGCTCCGCTGGCTGACCTTCTTGCTCACTGACTTAGGTGAGCGGCCTAGCTCTGCCCCGGTCCTGTTCGCTGACAACAGGGCCATGATCCTCCTGTGTCAGGAGCCTCGACTCGAGGGCAGAGCGAAGCATATTCAGTTGCGGTACTTCCTCCTGCGCGAGCTACAGCAGCGACGCCAGGCTCGCGTAGTACACTTGGCCTCAGGTGCCAACACAGCTGATATCTTTACGAAGGCGCTTGCGCCTAATGATCATCAGCGGCACTGTGTACAGCTTGGTCTAGTTCCTGTAGCCTCTCACTTGCTAGGGCCTTGACTTTGTACTATCCTTTATATGTGTACTGAGACTGGACTTGTGTCCTCTCCAGTGGCTGGACTAGTAGTGCCGCCCTATTCTTGTTCTTGCCTTGTCTGTACTCCTTCTGACTGGTCTTTTAGACCCTTGTCTCAGAGGCTGGACTAGTAGTGCCGCCCTGAGCTGCTTGTTCAGGACCTGCCCCTATGCAGTCTAGGGGGTGTGTCAAACATGTGTATCTCCTATGTTTGCATAGACTGTATAGGGCCACCTCTTAGAGGGTACAACACTTAGGTATATTCACCTGTACTCTCTCTCTACTCAATCATTCAGTTCTCATTCTAACAGTTTGTGCTAAGCCCCTCTCACCCCCTCCCACTTGCACTTGAGTGCCAACACTGACTGCCAGCAAGTCCAACTTCACTGTTGCTAGTCACTAGTACCGGTAGATGCTTGTGGCCATGCAAAGAAACTCATCAGACTCATGCATTGGAAAATTGCTGGGTGCACTACTATGGAAGCAATGCTAAGCTGCTACATGTTTCATAAGTGGACCAATGTGGTACGGTATGCGCATAAATACATGCGACAGAAGGGTAGCGTATCGTGTACTTGCAGGCATGGCGTGTGACTCATGATGGTCATACACCTTCGTGTTCATCCACCTGGTGATGTATGTATGGTAATAACAAACAAAACTGTTCCTTGAATTCATACCAAAACAACTGTAGGCCCCTGTGCAATGAATGATAATACAGGCACATCAGTAACAGTGAGCGCGATTACCAGTCCCCCATGTTAATCGCGATAAACCCGTTGAGCAAACGTCCGTTCGTCGCCCGCAGCTCGTTTATCAGCCGGCTCCAATTTGACCCGAGCGCGCCCACAAAGTAGTCGCACTGTGACGCAATGATAGCGCTCGCGAAGCTGGCAGCGACGGACTGCGAAAACTCATACTCGCGGTTGGACTTGGCGTCGATGGGCTGCCGCGAGTTGGACGAGTAGAGGAACTTCCAGTCGGGGTAGGTGGTGGACTCCTGGATCACAGACTGCGAGGGTGCGAGAGGTGGGAGAGAAGGGAGCAGTGGGAGAGGTGGGAGAGGTGGGAGAGGTGGGAGAGGTGGGAGAGGTGGGAGATAACGTTTGAGTCGACTCAAAAGACCTTCCAGTCGGGGTAGGTGGTGGACTCCTGGGTCACAGCCTGTGGGGTGGGGGGGGATAAGGTGGGAGAGGAGGTGGGAGAGATGGGGGGAGATTTGGGGGAAGAAGGGTCGGGAGGGGGAGACAAAAAGGAGGAGATTTGGGAAGGTGAGTCGGGTTGTCGTAGTGAGGAGATAAAAGGGGAAGATACAGTGTGGGCGAGTGACGGTAAGAGCAATTGTTGAGGGTGTTTGATGAACGTGATTGTTGAGAGTGCTTTTGAGGCGCCTCAAAAGTCTGCTGAACGTGATTGTTGAGAGTGTATCATTGAGAGCCGTGATTGACAGTGATAGTGACAATCAAGATTGACTGTTGAGAGCCCACCCCCTCACCTCCATGTCTGTGTTGAGCCACACGTGCCGCAGGTCTGGGCTGGTGAGTGGGAATCTCGATTATTGCTGAGGGTGTTTGTTGAAAAGCCAGTCACTCACCTCCATCTCTGTGTTGAGCCACACGTATCGCAGGTCCGGCGCATATCGCCGCAGCCGGTGAGCGAAGAACATGTGCGAGGCGAACGACGACAGGCGCATCTCAATCCCCTTGTCGCTCTGCCGCACGTGCACGCTCACGATCGGCCGCACCACAAACGGCTCCCCCCCCACCGCCACATATGTGTCCCTCAACGCCTTGGCATCCGCCGCCCCCATGCACGTCTCATTGCACCCCGCGTACCCCTTGATCCCCCACACTTGCGTCTCGATATTCCCCGGAGGCGCGAAGGTTATCCCAAGGAGCCGCTTTGCTTCATCTGACTCGCTGATGTTGACCGCGGAGTCGCCCACCACAGCACGGACGATTTCGACCTGGGTTTCGGAGTAGCGCGCGAGGTGGGATGCGGTGTGCAGCCCGTACGCGGTGTGGCGCTCCTTGTTGGTGGCGTGGCACATGTGCGCGGACGGCCAGCGCAGCATGAAGCGCACCGACTGGGACCGCCACCAGTGCAGCTGGGGGGAGGGGGGAGGAGGGGGGAGGGGGGGAGAGGGGGAGCGGAAAGGGGAGAGGAAGGAGGAAGTCAGGGGAAAGGAGGTGGGCTCGGCATGTACTGTGTATTGGATCCGTGTACCCTGCACTTTTCTTATCTACCATTCATTCGAGTAGAACTCATTCATGTGAACACACCGCCCACGCACACAAAATCGAGTCCCGGGCGCATCGATTCCCAGGCTCTGGCCAAGTGCCTTGCACACACGCATGCACGCACCATCTGGTACTTGTCGTCAGTGCGGGGCAGCTGGCCCATGAACTCCACCACATCGGGCGACGCTGCGTACGCCTTGCCCCATAGACTGGCACAGGACAAAAAAACAAGGAGGGGAAGCACACAGGGTGGGAAGGAGTGGAGGAAGAGTGGGGGAGGGTGGGGATGAGCAGGGAGGGAAAGAGACGATGAGGGAATTGAGGTGGGGAGTGTATATCCTCGGTCTTTGGCCCCACACCCACCTCCTCACACGCTTCCCCTAGACCCAACTCTCATAGCCAAATACTGGCCAACCTTCAGCCCTGCACCCACCCTTCCCTCCTCACACCCTCCCCCACTCCCCCTCCCCCACTCCCTCTCCCCCATTCCCCCCTCCCCCTTTTCTCCCCGCACCTCACATGGCAGCCCAGGACTCATAGCCCATCTGCTTGTCAACGCTGGAGTTGAGGCACACAACCGGGTCAGCAGAGGCAGCAATGCGACCTTCAGCCCTGCACCCACCCTCCCCACCTCACGCCCTTCCCCTCCCACCCTTCCCCCACCCCCTTCCCCCACCCCCCTTCCCCCAGCCTCACGTGGCGGCCCGGGACTCATAGCCCATCTGCTTGTCGACATTGGAGTTGAGGCACACAACCGGGTCGGCAGAGGCGGCAACGCGGTCGTGGCCCTTGTCGTCCGTGGAGCACGTGGGCAGGGTGCCGTTGGCTGCCATCTCGGCCGCAATGCGCTCGCAGTCGGGGTTGACTATGGGGAAGAAGAAGCAGTCCCAAGAGCCAGAGGTGTTGGTGGCTGGTGGAGAGAGGGCGGACGGTGCAGGGATGGTGGTGTGAGGGTGGGAAGTAAGAGGTGGGTGGGGGAATGGGTGTTGGGGAGGGGGGTGGGGTTGCGAGGTGGGCGGATGGGTGTTGCGAAAAGGGTTGGGAAGGGAGGAGGGGGGTCGGGTGGGAAGTGAGAGAATGGGTGTTGGGGCACAGGTTGGGGGGCGGGGGAGGGGGGAGGGGGAGGAAGGGCGTAACACTAAATGTGAAGTTGTTGGATCTACAGACAGAAAGGTACTCGTGAACGTTGACACTCAAACACACGGAATGCACACAGAGAGCACAGAGAGCACAGAGAGCACAGAGAGCACAGAGGGCACAGAGAGCACAGAGGGCACAGAGGGCACAGAGAGCACAGAGAGCACAGAGAGCACAGAGGGCACAGAGATCACAGAGAGCACAGAGAGCACAGAGAGCGCAGAGAGCACAGAGAGCACAGAGAGCACAGAGAGCACAGAGAGCACAGAGAGCACAGAGAGCACAGAGGGCACAGAGGGCACAGAGGGCACAGAGGGCACAGAGAGCACAGAGAGCAGAGAGAGCAGAGAGAGCAGAGAGAGCAGAGAGCGCAGAGAGCGCAGAGAGCGCAGAGAGCGCAGAGAGCGCAGAGAGCGCAGAGAGCAGAGAGAGCAGAGAGAGCACAGAGAGCACATAGAGCACAGAGAGCACAGAGAGCAGAGAGAGCAGAGAGAGCAGAGAGAGCAGAGAGCGCAGAGAGCACAGAGAGCGCAGAGAGCGCAGAGAGCACAGAGAGCACAGAGAGCACAGAGAGCACAGAGAGCACAGAGAGCACAGAGTGCACAGAGAGCACAGAGAGCACAGAGAGCGCAGAGAGCGCAGAGAGCGCAGAGAGCAGAGAGAGCAGAAAGAGCAGAGAGAGCACAGAGAGCACAGAGAGAGAGCAGAAGAACAAGGACTGCAGAAGCCAAGGCAGTGGGCCCGTGCAGCACTGAGGCAGCCCTTAGCACTGGCAGAGCAGAACGACCAGCTGAGGCAACCACTGCATGCTTGGCTGCTTTTGACCCGACTCAAGCGCATTGCAGCCAGTGGAGTGGAGCGCACCGTTGCATGCTTGGGTGAAGGCGCGGTCGTAGGAGCCAGGCTGCGGCACGAGAGTGCGGTTGTGGATCATTGCCAGGCTCAGGAACGCGCTCGTCACATGCACCTGATAAAGAGGGTGGGCGGGTAGATGGGTGGGTGGGTGGGCGGGCGGGTGGGTGGGCGGGCGGGCGGGTGGGTGGGTGGGCGGGTGGGTGGGTGGGTGGGTGGGTGGGTGAGTCGTTAATTGGATAAAGGTGGTGTACCACAACCCACACAGTGATGTATGAGAAGCAGAAAAAAGTCCGCAACACTTGGCCACACATGTTGCACTTTGTGCACGGCAAACCCACAAACCAACAAGCTCACTCTCACCTTTGCGGACAAAAATTCTCACCTGCGAGCCGACCCGACGCCGTGCAGCTTCCCCAAGGACCAGGGCACGACGAGCAGGCGCCTGTGTGAGATGTAGCCACTGCGTGTGCGGGATGCACACAGAGCCCACACCACCTGGCCCACACGCTGCCACACGAGCTATCCAGCGAGCCCAGCACCCACCTGCGAGCCAACGCCGTGCAGCTTCCCTGTGGACCAGGGCACGACGAGCAGGCGCCTGCCCTCGCAGCTGCCATGGAACAGCTGGTACTCCCACAGATCCCTCTGCACCACTCTGGTCAGCGGCAGGTTGTCCGCGTCTGACCCACGCAACTGGGGGGAAGGGGGGGGGGGGGCGGAGAGGGGAGCGAGGGAATGTGGAACTGGGAGGGGGGAAGGCGATAGGAGGGGTGCTGGAAGTTGGGAGGGTGACTGGAGAGTCCATACCATAGACACGGGTGACTGGTAAAGGGAACGGGTTTTTATCCTTAACACAAGTGACTGGTGGAGAATGGGATTGACACTAGTGGTGTGTCTATATGCGGTTTGTCTGTCTGCTGCTGCCCTCCGGTCCAGTGTCCTTCGTACTCCACAAAGAGGACAAACAAACAACTGTATGGGTTCGTCTCTCCCAGCACAATGCCCTCCCCCACCCAGTTGGCCATGTGGAAAGGGGGCCGAGGAGAGGGAGGGAGGCACAGAGCTCGCTGACGTGTCTCACAACAGCTACTACAGACCAGACGTCTGGCGTTTTAAGCTTTTCGAAACGGCTGTTAAGGGGGGAGGAGAGATGTGGAGAAAGGATATGTGGTCCTACCCAGGGCGGTTGCGGGTTACATCCGCAGCAGTTGGCAGGCCGCGCCCACATGGGCGACTCCCCATTGGCTCCGCGCTGCTCGGACGCCTTTCGCACAGCCGTCAGCGCCGCGCAATCCTCCAGGTGCGGCGCGGGCGGCACGCTGAGCGGCAAGGTGACCTTTTCGGGCGGCAGGTCGATGTCGGGCTTGAGCCCATATGCCTCCTCCCATGCCTAAGGGATAGGGGTGGGGTGGGGTGGAAAGGGGTGGGGGGTGATGATGAGAGGGAGGAAGCAAGGGGAAAGGAGGAGTGAGGAGAGAGGAGAGGGATTGGGGAGGTTGAGAAGAGGGAGCATGGCTATGGGAGATGACTTGGAGAGGGACAACCCATGTTCTAAACTTGTGAGTGTGGCTGGGGGGAGTCAAGAGGGGAGTTGGGGCCGGGTGGGGGAGAGAAGGTGGAGGGATGGGGGACCGAATGTGCGAACTGCAAGGCGCGGAGGTGGGGTAACTTGGAAGGTGCGAAAGTGGGGTCATCACATGTACGGGCATGACACGTACGGCCATGACACGTACGGGCATGACATGTACGGGCATGACATGTACGGGCATGACATGTACGGGCATGACACGTACGGGCATGACATGTACGTACGGCCATGACACGTAACGGCATGACATGTACGTACGGGCATGACACGTACGGGCATGAAATGGCACGGATGAAAGTGGGTCATCTGGTGAAAGCACCGCGCAAAGCTGGCAAGGCAAGCCCTGAAGCCGTAACTCTCTCCGCAAGCGACGCCGCAACCGGCTCGCGACACCATTAGCCAAGCCGGAATAGCGGCATGAGCGGTTTCCGACTAATTAATGCGATCGAGCGGGTGAGTCGGCACTGGCTTCGGCGAATTACGCCGAATTCTGGCCAGCTTCGTGCAACTAATTGCGACAATCATATGCCACGCAAGCCAGCCCTTGGCCGCCATTCCGCCGTAGACACCATGTGCGTAGACCGGAGCAAGTCCGCATGGCTGTGTACAGGAGCAACCTGGAACTCACTCGGAAAAGCGACATGGCTCGTTCTATGCCCGCCTCGCCGCCGATCTGCCCGCCTGGCGTGTTGGGCATCTGCGCCGTGACCGCCGGCGATGCGGCGGCCACGACGCATAAGAGCGAGATTGCGATTACGAGAGACATGGTGCCGCGATTTCTGGTGAATAGGGAAACTAGAAAGCGATTTGATATGGGCGATCAGGGAATATAACTGACATATCTGACGGGCGAGGTGCGTTGTGGTTGTCTATTTTTGAGGTGCGCCTCAAAAATAGACTCGTTGTGGCTGGGTGCGTGAAGAGCGGAGAGTGCTGCTGGCGGGATGAGGTGATTGGGGGGGTAGTGTTGGCGATGGTGATGCTGCAGTTGTACGCGATTAAAAGCGAGTGTTGTTTATGGATGTGGCGATGGCTGCATGAAGAAGATTGGAGGAGGTCTAAAAAAGCCTGCTGCTCGAATTGCAGTTTTTGGGCTTTAATAGATGTAAAAGTACGGTTCTGATTTTGGTTTAGGCAGTACACTTCGGTGTTACGAGTGAGGGCTTCTGGAGGCACACTTGGCAAGTACGTTCCCCAACCTAGCCCATCTGACGGGGCAGCGGAACCCACACACCATTCTCCTCACCTCACGGAACGTCAGATGTCCACGAGTCAACGGGTTACCGTGAACCAAACCTTGGGATTGACACTTGGAACATGCCACGAACTGTCGCGAGAGCTCACGAAGCTCGCACAACTTTCCAACTGACGAACACAGTGCCGCGAGTGTCTTCGTCGCATCTATCACGAAGTTCTCCCATACAGGGTAACCACACTGCACTCTTCTGCTCGTGTGACTGGCGATGACCTGTCCTCTCACCATGGCACCTTTCCCATCACAATCCACTTGGCCCAAACCGTTTTCTCCCCCTTGCTTTTGATCAGGGAGGCCTTTTTCTTGCTGCCTACGTGGCTGCCAGGCTTCGAGGTCCGCTGCGACCCAGCCTAGCCCGCGCCTGCTGCCAGCAGGCGGCTGATCAGCAGCCAGTCTCGGCGTCACAGCGTCGCAGCGTCGCACTTGATCAATCTCGCGTCCGCCGTAATCCATGGAGGCCGCTGTTGCCGCAGATCTGGCCTTCAGTGCCCGAGAGGCCGCCTTGGGTTCGTCGCTAGGGAGCGCTGCGGCACGTGCAGGGCGAGACCTAGACAATCGTGGGAAATGCCAGCTCCTTGGAAAACCCGGGCGACTCGCTAATGGCAGATCCGTCAAGAGATGGTCCAGTGGGAAAGCGGAGTCTCGGTCTTGGGAGGCAGATGCGGTGATCGGTGGAGATTCCCGAGGGTTTGGACGTCAAAACGGCTCCATTGTCGGTCGCAGCCGACGACGCGCCGCTGAGATGCGGATCGGAGGCCCGCTCGACGACCAGACGCGGAGATCCCAGTCCGATCGCCGGCTGGTCTGTCGGTCTGCAAACGGCTCGCCGGCAGATGCTTCCGGTGAGGAAATATCACCGTTCAGAGTGGACAATGTAGATCCTCACGTCAGGGCGGGAAATACGACGTAGGACACTAGAGCACTGCCGATCGGTGCAACGCATGGCGTCGGTTGCTCCTTAGCTTCGGACACATATGCTGACCGGCAGTGCAAGCGCGTGGGCGCGTGGACCGTGCGAATCTATTGCATTCTCCGAACCTAACGGCCTCAGGTGCACTCCCCCGTTCTTGGGATATTCAATGCCCCTTTCCTCCCTTGCCGTCCCTCATTCCCCTCACGTTCGGCCGCTCGCGTTCTGTCCACCCTTCCCCACGCGCACAGATCCCCGCGCCGTTGATCGCGCCATGCTGCAGCGCGCGGTGCAGCTCGCGACGTCTTCCGCGGGGCTCACTGCGCCGCACCCCTTCGCGGGGTGCGTGCTGCGGCGGGACGGGCGCGTGGTGGCGGAGACGTGGCTGCACGCGCAGGGCACCGCGAGCGCGGAGAAGCAGGCGGTGGAGGCGGCGGGGGAAGCGGCGCGCGGAGCAACCGCGTATCTGAACCTGGAGCCCGGGGATTGCCATGGCGACGACAGCGCTGTGTACGCTCTCATTCAGGTGGGCGAGGGTTGGTTCAGGTGGGAAGGGCCTATTTTTTAGGCGCCTCAAAAATAGAGCCCGGGGATTGCCGTGGCGACGACAGCGCTGTTTATGCTCTCATTCAGGTGGGCGCGGGTTGGTTCAGGTGGGAAGGGCCTTGATTCAGGTGGGAGAGGGCATTCAGGTGGGAGAGTTGATTCAGGTGGGAGAGTGCATTCAGGTGGGAGAGTGCATTCAGGTGGGAGAGTGCATTCAGGTGGGAGAGTGCATTCAGGTGGGAGAGTGATGCATCAAATGGTGCCCTCTGATTCAGGAGAAGAGGACAAATTGATTCCTACATCTCCCGCATTGCTGCTGCGTGGTGGCAAGCCGTGTGTAATGAGTCGATTTTTGAGTCGACTCAAAAATCGACTCATTACACACGGATTTTGAGTCGACTCAAAAATCGACTCATTACACCCACATTGCTGCTGCGTGGTGGCAAGCTCGTTTTACGACATGCCCCCCGCTCCCCCCCCCGCTCCCCCCCCAACCCCACCCCCACCCCCACCCCCTCCGCCTCCCCCTCCGCCTCCCCCTCACCCCCTCATTTCCCCCCTCCTTTCATCTCTCCGCAGGCGGGCGTGTCGCGGGTGGTGGTGGGGCTGCTGAACCCGCTGCCGCACCACCACGGCAGGGCAGTGGCCATGCTGCGACAGGCGGGCGTCGCCGTGGACGTGCTTGGGGAAGGGGAACTCGCCCACCCGGACATGCACGTGAGTCGGACTTACCAAGTCCCCACCAACCACCTGCCTCTCCTCCTTCACTCTCTCTGCGCCTGCCTACTGTCGCATCTCGCCCCTTTCCCTCTCCTTCCTTCCGCACTCCCACCCCCGTCCCCCGTCCCCCGTCCTCCGTGTCAATCCATCCTCGGAGAAGCACTTGACTCTCCTGGGAATCTCAGTTGCTGCTTTCAAGTGAACCCCCTTCCTGGCCTTGCTCCGTCTCACGCCCCGTGCTCTATGCACTATGCCACATGCCCCATACCTATGCCCCGTGCCCCATACACATGCCCCACCGCCCCTACCCATGCCCCGTGCCCCATACCCATACCCCACGCCCCTTACCTATGCCCCACGCCCCTTACCTATGCTCCACGGCCCATCTATGCCCCACCTGCCACCTTTGCCCCACGCCCCGTACCCCAGGACGTGGCGAGGAGCTGCCGGCTGGTGAACGAGGCGCTGCTGTTCCGCGCGGACACGGGGCTGCCCTTCTCCATCCTCAAATACGCCATGACGCTCGATGGTGCGTTTTTTTAGCAGGGGAAATGGTGCTGCATGGTGGGTGTGTGTGTTTGGGGGGGGGGGGGGGGGGGGGGGGGTGGGTGGGGGTTTGAGGAGGGGGGGGGAGGGCATAGAGGCTTGTTTGTAGCAGGGATGGGGACGTTTGAGTGGAGTCGGCTCAGCCTTCACAGGCATGCGTGTGGTAAGGAGGAAGGGGGAGTGAGGAAGAGGGAGGAGGATACAGAGGCAGGTGATTGAGAAGGGTGTCCCATACCCCGTTGTGGATCACCACACATCATGCTCGCTCACAAGCTTCTTCTGAGCTTTATGTGTCCCTATGGCCATACATACTTGCCTCCACCTGCTCTTGTGTGTGTGTGTGTGTGTGTGTGTGCGTGCGTGTGTGCGTGTGCGTGCATGCGCGTGTGTGCGTGCGCGCCTAATGGATACACTCTAACGAACTCTGCTGGACCCATTCAATCGACCACTCCATGCGTGAGGAGTCTATTTTTGAGGCGCCTCAAAAATAGACTCCCCATTCAATCGACCACTCCATGCGTGAGGAGTCTATTTTTGAGGCGCCTCAAAAATAGACTCCCCATTCAATCGACCGCTCCATGCACCATGCTGCTCTCAGCCCACGCACTTGGTTTTTTAGAATTCCCAAAAACCAACTTTGCCCAACAAAGAGCAACTACGCTGCCCACGCATCGCCTCAGCTCAACCATTTTCAAAGCCGCCAATTCTCAATCGGTACTTTCGTATCCGTCCCTTCAGATCCCTCCCCTCAAACCCCGTCCGGTCTGTCCTGACCCCCCCCCTCCCCCGGAGCAGGCAAGATAGCAGCGTCCACGGGGCATGCGGCGTGGGTGACGAGCCGAGAGGCGCGGCAACGGGTTTTCGACGTGCGCAGCCTGTCGGACGCCATCATTGTGGGCGGCAACACTGTGCGCCGCGACAGTGAGTCTCTTGCGTGCGCTGCTACAGTGAGTCTCTTGCGTGATTTTTTTGTCACGCTCCACTCAAAAGCCATCATTGTGGGCGGCGGCAACACCGTGCGCCGCGACAGTGAGTCTCTTGTGTGCGGGCTGACTATTTGTGTGTGTGTTGTGGTCGCACTGGGAGGGAAGGTGCGTAACGCAGAGCGTGTGGAGAGAGACAGAGACAGGAGTGAGCCTGTTGCTTTCATTCGACGGGCTTTCAAGCAGATTTCATGTCGACGCAGATGCAATAGTTATCTCCCCTTGAGGGGAGTCACTCTTCCCCTCTCACCTTTCCCTCCTCCATACCCTTGTTTGACCACGCACAGAGAAGGGAGGCACATTGCAGTGTGCATACTGATATCCCACTCCCCCCTCCCGCCTCAAACCTTCCTTCTTTCCCTCCCTTTTCTTCCACTCCCTCCACATCCTGTGACATCCCCCCACCCCCACTCTCTGTCCTCTTCTCTTCCCCCCTCTGCCAGACCCTCGTCTCACCACGCGCCGGGAGGGAGGGCACATCCCGGTGCGCATAGTGATGTCGCGCTCCCTCCGCCTGCCTGAGGACGCCAACCTGTGGGACGTGGCCATCGCGCCCACCGTGGTGATGACGCAGCGCGGCGCCAAGGGCGACTTCTGCGCGCGGCTGCGCGAGCGCGGGTGCGAGGTGGTCGAGTTTGACTTCCTGTCGCCGCGGGCTGTTATGGAGTACTGCCACCAGCGCGGCTTCATGCAGGTGGGTGTGTTGGGTGAGTGCAGGTGGGTGCTCTGGGAGCTGTGAGGGGTCAGTTGTGACTTCTCTTCACCAGGAATCTGTGCATGTCTAGAAGAGACTTTGGGCTTCCTGTCGCCGCGGGCTGTTATGGAGTACTGCCACCAGCGCGGCTTCATGCAGGTGGGTGTGTTGGGTGAGTGCAGGTGGGTGCTCTGGGAGCTGTGAGGGGTCAGTTGTGACTTCTCTTCACCAGGAATCTGTGCATGTCTAGAAGAGACTTTGGGCTTCCTGTCGCCGCGGGCTGTTATGGAGTACTGCCACCAGCGCGGCTTCATGCAGGTGGGTGTGTTGGGTGAGTGCAGGTGGGTGCTCTGGGAGCTGTGAGGGGTCAGTTGTGACTTCTCTTCACCAGGAATCTGTGCATGTCTAGAAGAGACTTTGGGCTTCCTGTCGCCGCGGGCTGTTATGGAGTACTGCCACCAGCGCGGCTTCATGCAGGTGGGTGTGTTGGGTGAGTGCAGGTGGGTGCTCTGGGAGCTGTGAGGGGTCAGTTGTGACTTCTCTTCACCAGGAATCTGTGCATGTCTAGAAGAGACTTTGGGCTTCCTGTCGCCGCGGGCTGTTATGGAGTACTGCCACCAGCGCGGCTTCATGCAGGTGGGTGTGTTGGGTGAGTGCAGGTGGATGGGGGCTCCCTCATGCAGGCGTGTGTTTAGGGTGTAAGATGGACCTCTAGTCGTGCAGGTGCGTGTGGGGATTGTTAGGTATCCGTGGTGTGACTTCTCTTCACCAGGAATGTGAGCTCGTCTCGAAGTGACTTCGGACTTCCTCTCCTCTCGCCCGGGGCTGTTATGGAGTACTGCCACCAGCGCAGCTTCATGCAGGTGGGTGGATGCTCAGGGGAATGAGTCAGGGCATGCATGCAGGTGGGTGTTGAGACGTCTCAAAACCAACCTTATATTGCAGCTGGGTGTCGAGACCTCTCAAAACCAACCTTATATTGCAGCTGGGTGTCGAGACGTCTCAAAACCAACCTTATATTGCAGCTGGGTGTCGAGACGTCTCAAAACCAACCTTATATTGCAGCTGGGTGTCGAGACGTTTCAAAACCAACCTTATATTGCAGCTGGGTGTCGAGACGTTTCAAAACCAACCTTATATTGCAGGTGGGTGTTGAGACGTCTCAAAACCAACCTTATCTTGCAGGTGGGTGTTGAGACGTCTCAAAACCAACCTTATATTGCAGCTGGGTGTCGAGACCTCTCAAAACCAACCTTATATTGCAGGTGGGTGTTGAGACGTCTCAAAACCAACCTTATATTGCAGGTGGGTGTCGAGACGTCTCAAAACCAACCTTATATTGCAGGTGGGTGGGTGAGCTGTGAGGGGTCAGTTGTGATTTGAGCACCCAAAAAGTGTTCTAGACTGGCCCAGAACAGTTTAATGTATACTTCTGACTTCCTCTCGCCCGGGGCCGTGAGGGCTGCAAGGGACCTTTCTCTCTCTCCTCTCCCCCCTCTCCTCTCCCCCCCCCCCCTTCTCAGGTCCCGTGGGAGTGTGCTGGAGAGTGACGGCACTCTGTCCGCCCCATGCATAGCGGGCAGTGCCATACAGACTCCACCTCCCCCCCTCCCTCTCCCCCCACCCGCAGGTGCTGTGGGAGTGCGGCGGCACTCTCTCCGCGCCCTGCATAGCGGGCGGCGCCATTCACAAAGTGATGGCGTTCGTGGCGCCCAAGATCATCGGGGGGGTCACCGCGCCCTCCCCCGTGGGCGACCTGGGCTTCGTGGAAATGACCCAGGCGCTCGAGCTCGCTGACATCAGCACGGAGATCGTGAGGCTCTCTCTCGCCTATCTGCGATTGGCTGTAGTTGTAGTCTTCCTCTTGTTGGTTCCCGCCGCCTGTGATGCTTTGTGAAGCGGGGCCTTTCTTCTCTTGCCCTGCTTTTTTCCCCGTGCTTTTCTTCCTTCCCTGCTCGCTCTTTCACCTCTATCATTCCATCTATCAAGGCCTATTTTCTCCTCTGAATCTTTCGCCTCTAATCTCACGCAATCATCCCTCCCCTCTATCCCCTCACTCCCCCCTCTCTCCTCTCTCCCCCCTTTCTCTTGTCGATCCTCTCCCCTTGCTCCCCACTCTCCCCTCTCTCCTCCCCCATGGCCCCGTGGCACGTCAGATTGGGCGGGACCTGCTGATGACGGGCTATCTGCACCCTCTCCCCACGGAGCCCCCCATCCTGCCGCAAACGCCCACCTTCGAATCCAGACGTGCGCCTCTCGCATCCCATCCCATCCCATCCCTCTTGCCACAAGGCGTCTGCCTCCTTGGCCTCCGTGCTTGCCTCTCGGATGGTGATCTGCCTGTGACATGGATGGGTACTTGTTCTGTCCACGTATCACGTGGTCAGGACTCATAACCTTGTACCACATGCCTTTGACCTCTCTCAACTCCCCTTCTTCTCTGCACACTCTCCTCCTTGTTAATATGCCTTACAATGTGCTGGTAAAATGCCTCCTAATATGCCTCCCCTGCCTTCTAGCTGCCCCATCGTCCATCCATCCATCCATCCATCCATCCATCCATCCATCCATCCATCCATCCATCCATCCATCCATCCATCCATCCATCCATCCATCCATCCATCCATCCATCCATCCATCCATCCATCCATCCATCCATCCATCCATCCATCCATCCATCCATCCATCCATCCATCCCCCCCACCCCCCTCACTCTCATTCACACTAACCCCTTGCCTTGCCTCTCCCCACCACCTCATCCTGCCTTCTCTATCACCCCCTCACTCCCCTCCTGTCATCCTATCCCTCCCTCCACACTCTCTTTTCTCCCCTCCCCCTATCCCAGTGACCCCTCCAACCAATCCCGGGCCACCACCTGTCATCTCCTTCTACAAATCCTGGGATGCCTTCGGTGCTCTCTCCAACTTCTCCCCTCACCCCATCGTCCTCCCCCTAATCCTCCCCCTCTCTCCCCCCACCTCTTCCTCTTCCGCCTCCTCCCCATCCCTCTCGCCATCCTCTGCTCAAGCCTCTTCTGCTGTTTCCAACGGGGGGGACAGCGAAGGAGAGGAGGGTGGGGAGTGGCTATGGCAAACAGTGGAGCAATTTTACCAGGTGGGGGTGGGAGCTTTCTTACGTGGGGTCATGGCGGGTGATGCAAGCTCATGGAGTGGTTCTGGGTATGGTAGGCTGTGCTCTTGAGTTTTGCGATGCGGCTTAGCTTGGGGGGTTGATTGGGGGTTGATTGGGGGTTGATTAATTGGGGGTTGATTGGGGGTTGATTAATTGGGGGTTGATTGATTGGGGGTTGATTGATTGGGGTTGATTGATCGGGGGTTGATTGATAAGGGGTCGATTGATTGGGGGTTGATTGATTGGTGGTTGATTGATTGGGGGTTGATTGATCGGGGATTAATTGATTGGGGGTTGATTGATTGGGGGTTGATTGATTGGGGGTTGATTGATTGGGGGTTGATTGATGGGGGTTTGATTGATTGGTGGTTGATTGATTGGGGGTTGATTGATTGGGGGTTGATTGGGGGTTGATTGGGGGTTGATTGATTGGCCCTCGTTTTGATGGAGATCTAACCAACCACTGCCTGGCTTTCATCTGCCACCAATTCCCATGCAGGCGCAAAAGTTTTCGATTTCGACTGACCCAGCGGCAGTGGAGGCGGTGGCATCGATCCGGGCAGCTGAAACTCCGGAATTGGCAGCACGGATTGGGCGAGCTCTGGAGAGGAGTCGGCCAGACCTTGTATGTGCATCATGCGTGGACGGCCATAGTTCAGTGTGATCTCTTATGCAACTTGCTTGCTGCAGTTTGTTTGTTGGATCGTTGCCTTACCAAGCCATGCACTCTACCTCTTGCTCTCTGCTCACTCTTCCTTCCCTCCTCACCCTTCAGTCGTCTCTTCCCCTTGGCCTCCATTCCCTAATCGCTTCTTGACTTCTTCCCCTTACGTTTGCCCATCGCCCATTTCCCCCGTCTTAATGCTTTGCAGCTGCGGCCCAACTGGCAGGAAGAGAAGCTAGCTGTGATGCGCACAGCGCTAAGGAAAAAGTTCACCATGTACCCACACCTGAGGGAGCTCCTGGTATCCACGGGCAACTCGCCCCTTGTGGAGTCATCCACCCACGATTTCTTCTGGGGAAGTGGGTGGACGCGCCGGGGTAAGAACAACCTTGGAAAGCTGCTTATGAGGCTGCGGACTGAGCTGTTGACCGAGGACCGAGTAGGGGCTGATTGATAGACAGCTAGAACTACCACGATGATTTTTAGGACTACACAACTAGTGATGAACCATGCCTTAGACGATTATTCCAGGTAGTCTCATTTTAGCATCCATCAGCTGGAAGTCGCGGTTATATCATAAATTCTGCCGTCTCGTCTTGACAACAGCAATGAACCTAATAGAATGGCATGTGGGATTCTAATTTCGTGGATTAAAGATTGTTAGAAGGAATCAAGCGCACCAAGTTAAGACAACATGCTCTCAACAAAAGTCGCTTTTTGAGGACGTGAGGAAGGAAACAACATCCACGTGGAGATTGTCTCTACCGCAACCTTTTCATCCACTTGTCGGCTCACACGTGGATGTACCAGTTGGGAGCTCTCCCGAATCTCGGAGAGTTTCATGCATTAGTTTGACATGCTGCTTCGGAACGCGACCCTTCGGATTTGCGCTCTTTCTGGGCCACAGCCTTGTCATTCTGCTAACGATGCATGACAACGAGAATGGTTACAGGGCAGCTGGAAATGATCCCGGTCACCGAAATGAATTTCGGATCAGACATCTCGTCGAGATCGTCGTCAGAGCCACGTCGGCGACGGTTCAAACCACCACACACACACGCTCACCTCAATCGGCGTCCAATCATCGTGGACTTACGGCGGCGCGCTTTGGTTTGGCGGCCATGAGGAGGGAGGAATGGCGGTGTCAGGCCAGATCAACCCAGCAACAGCCATACAGCGCGAACAAAACGAACCGAGCGAACAACAGTCGGTAACTGCAGATGCATGAACTCTCCTCTGTTTGATGAGAGGTTGGTGGCGAGTCGAGCCGAGGTGGGGCATCCATGGACAGCAGAGGGGCACGACAGGAGAATATGTAGCTTCGTACATAAACAAAAACGATCGAGGAGTAGGGAAAGGAGGACGAGTGCACGGCGAAGCTACGAAGCCAGGGTAGACCAGCGCGGAGCTGAGGTTCTTAGCGGCCAGCCGATCACGGTGCACAAACCGTGGGAGAGAACTAGCTTGGTGAAGTTACGTGGGCTGTGAGACGTGGATTGTGGGGAGATTTCAGTGCGCAGCAATTGGTCAAGCTAGAGTGACTTTCTCCATTACTGACAGCCATTCACCTGAACGCTTCCATGGCGTGCTTATCATCTCAGCCGTCGATCTCTGCGAGATCCATGGCTGCAGAATTCTCCGCCGTCCGATCATCCCCGTCGAATTTACTAACTACCACTGCGTCGTCGATCTCACCCGTCCAATCTACTCAGCCGCTGCAAGATGCCAGATGCAAATTGCGATGCCGAGTCGGCCGCAATTCGACCCGTGCTGTCCCGTCGAAGCGCCTCTCACTTCGCCGTTTCTCAGTCGAAGGCACGTCCGCTGAATCGCCGGCCCGAAGACACGTGGCATCGCACCATTCGCCGTCGCGATCCCGCCACGTGTGCAGCTCATCTCGACACGGCAACGGCGCGATCGTGCAAGAGGATGCGGGGGGCGAGAAGGGAGAAGAGGAGAGGGAGAAGGGCAACGCCGGCAAGAGACGGGTTCTGGCCGAGGACGTCAAAACGGCCGCTACTAATAGTAGCCTTGACACCGCAGAGGTTGCGGCGGGAGCTCCCGCGCTGAGCGCGGCGGAAAGGGATGCGCGGATCGAGGAGATGGGCGGAATGGCGGTGATGCAACGCGCGCCAGCGACGGAGCCCGGCCACAAGCGTAGCAGCAGCAGCGCTGCGCATATTCTGGACGCGCACACTCTGACTCAAGCTGAGCCCCGTCGGCAATCGCAGGGTCATGTGCCACCCTCTGAAATGATCGAGACCGCAACCGCCGATGCGCATAGTGCGGGCAGCGAGCACGCCGCGGCGGGAGGGTTCGGCGCGCCGCTGTGGGCGGACATTCGGCGGAAGGTGCCACATATGGGGAGCGACGTGCGCGACGGGCTGCACCCCGCCGCCGCTGCGAGCACGATGTTCCTCTTCTTCGCGTGCCTCACGCCGTGCATCGCGTTCGGCGGGTAAGCCATGGCCGCACGCGCACGACCGCGCTGTGGATGCTGCGGTGATATATTAATATTGTTTTGAGGCGTCCCAAACTTTGAAACTAGCGCGTCAGTCCAGGTTCCGAGGTCTTGTCTGTCGCTGTTTTTCATTCTCATCGTTCGTCAAGCGCGTTCACGGTGGAAGATGTTCTTTTGCCCAGTCCAAAGTGCGTCTAACTCATCCTCAATTTTCGTCTCCCCCTTGCTCTCCCCGCCTCTCATCCCGCATGGCTTCCCAATACCCGCGCGCGCAATCGTGCTGACGTCAGCCTGACAGCCGCGCAGACAGGTGGCGCCATCGGAGTGGTTGAGACGATCCTCGGGACTGCGAGTAAGTGGCTTTGCTTATTTTCGCCTTTCGCTGTCTCCCTCCCTTCCACACCCATGCGCTCACTCCTCCCCCGCCTCCCCCGCCTCCCCCGCCTCCCCTTTCCCCCCACTCCTTTCTTCTCCTCCGTTTTCGGACGTAATCTCCGCCATGTCCCTCCTACCCTCTGCCGTTCTGAATTCCCTCTCCTCCCCCTTCCCCTCCCCCTTCCCCTCCCCCACCTCTCACCATCCGCCGCCACTTTTGCAGGGTATTTTTGATATTTCTCATAAAATTTGCAGGGTATTTTTTAGAATTCTCAAAAATACCCTGCAGATTTCCCCTCCCCCACCTCTCACCATCCGCCGCCACTCCGCACTATCCACCGTACTGCACGCCATGTTTTTCTCACCTTCGTCCCCTCCCCACTCGCCTCAACCCTCTCACCCGCCCCGCCCCCACCGTCCTCCCCTCTCCCATCTCCTCGACCCGCTCGCCCCCTGCGCAGTATCCGGCGTGGTCTACGCCTTGTTTTCCGGACAGCCGCTCACGCTGCTGGGCCCCACGGGCCTCGTCGTCGTCTTCACAGGGCTGCTCTACAAGGTGCGCTCCGATATAAGCTGGGATTCGATGTTAGGTGCGCTTTGATACGTGGTGGGGTTCGATATAAGGTGGGGTTCCATATAAGGCGCCGCTCGTTATCAAGCAGGCGTTGATATAATCATGTAAGGTGATCTTGCTTGTGTAGAACGCTCCTCTCTGTGCGTCTGTACACGCCTTTCTAAGCCAATTTCTATCCAGTTGCGATGCGAATCTCGGTGCGTCCGCAGACAGACTACCTCGTGAGTCCTTTTCCCACACCTAGGCCACCTCGTGTCCTCCTTCCCAATCACCCCATAGTCTGCCCTCCCCCCAGTCCGCAGCGGCGCTCTCGCTGCCCTTCCTGCCCGTGCACGCGTGGCTGTATGACCGCTTGTGATGCCATCTCTTTGTCCCCACGCGCCTCCTCATCCCCCCATCCCCCCACCTCTTCATCCCCCCATCCCCCCTCCCCTCCATCCCCCCACCCCCCCACCCCTTCATCCACCCATCCAGTCCGCAGCCGCGCTCTCGCTGCCCTTCCTGCCCGTGTACGCGTGGGTGAGCGTGTGGTCCGCCGCCTTCCTGCTCGTGCTTTCGCTTACCGGCGCCAGCGACCTGGTAAGAGGGGGGTTGGGGGGGGGGGGGGTTAGGGTAGATGGGGTAAGGGCGCGGGAAAGGTGAGGGACGCGAGGGGGAAGTGTGGGGAAAGGAGGGTAGGGAGTGATTGACAGAGATTTGTGTTGGAGGTGAGAGGTTTGCTTGTTTTCTTGGGAGGGGTGAGTGATAGATCAGTGAAGCTGTAGCACAATGCGAATCAGGTCCCTCCCGGGATCATGTCGTCGCTGACCCGTTATTCCGCCCAGAGCTTTTGAGGCGCCTCGAAAGCACTCTGGATCTTGTCGTCGTCGCTGTTCCATTATTCCGCCCAGAGCTTCGCCTTTTGACCAACCTTTTTTGCCTGTCGACGTCGGTGCAGCGGCGAGCCACTCTCACTCCCACTTTCCTCCCTCCCTTGTGCCTTCGTCGTCCCTCCTCCCTTCCCTCCTCCCTCCCCTCCTTCCTCCCCTCCTCCCTCCCCCCTTCCCTACCCTGCTCCATCTCCCTCCTCCATCCCCCCACCCGTTTCCCATGTTCAACACTTCACTCGGTTCACGGACGAGACCTCCTCGCTGCTCATCGCTTTCAACAGATTGCCGCGTGTGCCGTTCTACTCTCGAGTCGACTCTAAAGTGTCCTCCCTCCCCCCACCCTCCCGGCCCCCCCTTCAGATTCGTCTGTTCACTCGGTTCACGGACGAGACCTTCTCGCTGCTCATCTCCCTTGGCTTCATCGCCGAGCCCTGCAAGGTGAGTGAGAATTGAGGGAGCGTAGTGGGTGGTCTGCTAGTGAGACCCTTCGAACGGCTCCTCATCTCCCTTGGCTTCATCGCCGACCCCTGCAAGGTGGCTGGGGATTGAGGGAGGGTAGGGAGTGCCGGGGTTCTGGGGGGCGGTGAGTGCTTCTGCTCAGGCCTCTGGAAGTCAGGGTAATTGCACTGCTTTGTCAAGGAAAACAGGGTGAAATTTTAACCTAGCCCTGCTTTTGACACATTCAGAATATCGATACCCAGCCTGGACGAGTTGGATCCCGGGCAGACTCGGAAACTGCAGGGTGACCCCTAGGATATCGAGATGCCTGCTTCTGGTTGGTATGCTGCGGTAGAGAGTGAGTGCTGGGGTTGGTGTGCTGGGGTAGAGAGTGAGTGCCTGGGGTCGATGTGCTGGGATAGACCTGCTGGCGGTAGGGAAGTGAATGAAGAAGGACTCACTTTAGTGGAAGACGTGATGTGACTAGAACACGCATCTCTGTCCAAACAGGGTGATGGTAAATCTCAGTGTCTTTTTCTCCTTTTCTGTTGATGGTAAATCTCAGTGTCTTTTTCTCCTTTTCTGGTGATGGTAAATATCATTCACTCATCTCAAATTCCCCACGCATTCTGTCCACTCCGAACCCTGCCTGCAATGCCCCGTTCCCTCCTCTCCTCTGCCTCCACATTTCACAGAAACTGATTTTTGAGATTTTTCAAAAACCACCGCTCCTCTCTCCTGCCTGCCCCTTTCACAGAAACTGGCCGCCAATTTCGCAGCGGCAGCAGCGGCAGCCACGGCAGCCGGGGCAGCAACTGCAATGACTGCTGCTAGCAGCAGCAGCGCCATGGGAGGGGGAGGGATGATGACCTCTAGCGTGGCTCTGCTCTCCATGTTTGTGGCCGTCGCCACGTGGCGACTCACCTCCTTCCTCTCCACGGTACTGCCTGCCTGCCCCTCTAACACCTGTGCCTCTCACTCACGCTTGTTCCTTAGGTGATTATTGAGTCAGACTCAAAAGTCGCCTTTTTTTGTCGGACTCAAAAAGCCACCTGCCGACTCACCTCACCACCTTCCTCTCCACGGTTATGCCTGCCTGCCACTCGAACGCTCGCCCCTCTAACACTCATGCCTCTCACTCACGCGCGTTCCTTCTAGCCTCTTGCACTGTTCGATCCCTGTGAGGTCGCTTACCAGGATGTGTGATAGTAACTTCGTTCTGAGTCGACATAAAACGAAGTTTGAGCCCATCAGGTCACTTCTCAGGATGTGACTGTGGTTGTCACCTCTCCATGCGCACGCACATGTCTGCCCCCTACACTACACTGCTCCTAATTTCTCCTCCTTGCTTCCTCTTTCTCCCCTCCCCTCGCCCCCCCCCTCCCCCCTCCCCACTCCCCCCTCCCCCCTCCCCCCAACAGTTCCGCGAGTCCCCCTACCTCACCCACCCCCTCCGCGCCCTCCTCTCCGACTTCGCCGCGCCCATCGCCATCCTCCTCATGTCCGCGCTCCCCTCACTCCTCCTCCCCTCCGTGCCCCTCCCCACCCTCTCCGCCCCCGCCCACATCGTCACCACAAGCGGCCGCCCCTGGCTGGTGCCCATCCTGGGGTCCCTGCCCCCCTGGGCCATGCTTCTGTGTGCAGTGCCGGCGGCGCTGCTGACTCTTCTGGTGTTCCTAGACCAGAATATCACCACTCGGCTGGTGGATGCGCCGTCGAATGGCCTGCGCAAGGGGAGCGGGTACCACCTCGACCTCGCCGTGCTCGCAGGTGAGAGGCAGAGCTGGAGAGGATAGGATGAGCTGGCAGGCGGGATGGGATGACCATCCAACATGGCCCAGCCGACCATTGGTTATTGCAAGGGCAGCCTGCACCACCTGGACCTCGCTGTGTTTGCTGTTGGGATGGCAACACCGCTACTTGTGTTTGCTCTCTTCCCCATCCCCCTACCATCTCTCCGCCACCATCTCTCCCCATCTCTCCCCATCTCTCCCCATCCCTCCCCATCTCTCCCCCTCCCTCATTCTTTCTCCCTATCCTCACCCTCTCGCCACCGCACTCGTGCTCTCTTCCCCTCCCCCTACCCTCCTCGTCTCGCTCCCTTCCCCCTCTCCCCCCTCTCTCTTCTCACCCACCTCCAGTCATCATGCTGCTCAGTGCAGCAGCTAGCCTCCTCTCTAGGATGCTGCGTCTGTGTCTCTCCATCACCCCCCTCGCTTCCTCCTCTTCCGTTTCCTCTCCCCTTCTCGGTCTCATCCCCCGCTACCTTGCCCTCCTTTCCCCCCTCCCCCCCTCCCCCTCACTCCCTCCTCCCAGTCATCATGCTGCTCAGTGCAGCAGTGGGCCTCCCCTGGATGGTCGCTTCAACCGTCCCCTCCCTCTCGCACGTCCGCTCCCTAGCCTTCACTGAATCTGCTCCTGCTGCTGCTGCTGCTGCGGCCCCTGCTCTAGCTGCAGCTGCTCTTGCTGCTGCTCCTCCCTCTCCTCCGCAGCAGCGGGTCCGCGAGAACCGGGTGACGGGTGTGGCCATCCATGTGAGTGTTCCTTGCGCTCTGTTGGTTGGTAGAGTGAACGAGCTGTAAGATTTGGGGTCACTTGGTTGATATCATTCTAGCACAAGCCCATGACGGCTTTCAATGGCTGTAGTTCGTCCGCCCCTGCCCCCTGCTTCCCATGACTGATGCACCCATGCATGTGTTTGACGTCTTCCATTTCTCCGTTATCGTGGCGTGTATGACTGTGGGGGCACCTAACAAACGGCATGGATCTCTGTCCTGTGTGTCACATTGTGTGTATGGTTGCAGGTTTGCATAGGAGCGTCACTCCTCCTGCTTCCTCTCCTTTCTCAGATCCCAGTTGCCGTAAGCCATCTCTGTTTTTACCAAACACGCCCACTCCCCTGCTCTCATTTCCTCCGTTCCGAAGGCAGGGCGTCCCGGTTTCCCCCTCTCCAATCCATGATTCGCGTACAAAATGGCACGGCAATGTGTTACAAGCGCTCGTGCCCCCCCCCCCTGCTCTCCTTGTACCCTATCCGAGAGCATGCGTTTCTAAGCTATGCTTGTGCCCTCTTCCCCCCGCCACTACCCTCTCGTTTCTCTTGTCCTCCAGGTGACCGAGGGTCTTTTCCTCTTTATGGGTTTCTCCAGTCTGGCCGGCAATCAGCTCGTTGACAGGTGCTGCCCTCTCCTCTCTCTCCTTCTCTCTTCTCCCCCCCATCCTGCTCCTCCCCCAGCATCTTTAAGCTGCCCCTCTTGTTCGACCTGCCATTGCCTAACCCTCTTCTACCTCCTTCGATGCTGTTCATCATGTGTGTACTCATCATCCTCTTTCTCACTCTCTAAATCCCCTCCCTTCCTGATTCTTTTTGTCCACTTCCACCTCCAAACATGTCCTCCTTCCCATCTACCCCAGGCTCAAGCTGGTCGTCACGGACCCCTCGCGCTTCCCTGACTACCCATTCATCCGAGGGGTGGCCCGATCGTCGGTGTATGGCTTCACAGCGCTGCAGGGTGCATGCCTGGTGGCGCTCTGGCAGCTCAAGCACAGCAAGCTTGGTGAGCAGGACTGTGGTGTGTGGGTGGGGTAATTATCGACGTGCATGTGAATTCATGTGCACATACTGGTATGCTCACTTTCTTATGCTGATGCATGCATGTGCAGTTTCAAGATGCAGTTGGGCTGTAGCATCACATTGAAATGTCTCACATATGACATGCGCACACTCATATGTGTTGGTGTGTGCATGCCTGCACTCTCACTGAAGAACTTGCCTCATCTTATGTGGCCTTGTGTCCCTTGTTGCTGGTGTTGCTTGCAGGAATTTTTTTCCCTCTCCTCATCCTTGCATTGATGCCTATCCGAAACATTGTTGCGGGTCGGATGTTTCCAAGCCCTGACTTGGCTGTCCTCGACGCACACTGAGCTTATACCATACCCTCCGCATGTGCTATGGCACTAGAGTATGTGTGAATTCTCATGCATGGTGTATAAAGGTGAATGTAACATTACCGACAGTAGAACATGCTTGTAAGGAATTAGTAACTCCTTACCGAGGCTTGCTACAGGGTGTCCAACTCGAACAGTCCCGAAGCAGTGATAGGGTTCCAGACCTTTCAATTTGAGCCGCCTGGGCCTTTTCCAGAACTCGCTTTGACAAATCGAGGCCCTTCGACACCTTTCCAGTATTGGGCTGAGAAAAGCCCTTAGGATCTTTTGCAGAGACTAAGTCCCAGCTTGTAGAGACTTGAGACTTGGAGTAGTGCAGCGGAAATTGAGACAGTTGAACCCTTGTACTAGTATGTGAGAACAAGTGATTAATTAAAGAAACAAGCATACAGCAATATTTAGAAGATAAGAAAGCAGTTGTAGAATACAGTTACAGGAACGGTTTATCGAGTCGCACAGCGACTCGATTGCCGCTTCGGTTACCATCCGTGATGTTGTAACGGTCAGTCGCAACCTCCAGTTGCGACCTTTCGAGTCCTTTCGCATTCTTTGTCCGCCCCCTCGTGTAACCTCCGTTGACTCGCGTGCTCCCCTGTAATCTTCCTCGAGTACAGTGTTACACTTCAGAAACGCTTAAGTCCTTGAGATATTTCCAACACTCCCCTTCGTTTCTGGAGTGCTGGAGTGTTCAGATCCGGTGACGTTTGTTTGCCCGGTTAGGAGCATGCAGTAGTCGAATTTTGCTTTCGCCAATTTCTTCGTCAGATAATCTGCGGCCATTTCTGTCGTCGGGCAGTAACTGAGTTGAAGTCTCCCCTTCGCGATTTCATCCTTGACGAAGAAGTACCGCAGGGCGATGTGCTTGGTTCGGTTGGCGAAGCCGTCCTTGTTCGCGATTTTTATCGCAGATTGGTTGTCGCAGAGGAGTGAGAAGGTGGGCAGGGTCGCGATCTTCGCTTCTTCGAGTAACTCTCGTAGGTAGAGTCCTTCCTTGGTCGCAGTACAAAGGGCGATATACTCTGCTTCAGCCGAGGATAGTGCGATTAACTCCTGCTTGCTCGACTGCCAGGAGATAGTTCCGATAGGTTCTAGTCGGTAGATGTAGCCCGTCCTAGACCGTCGATTTTCGCTGTCTCCCGCGTGGTCGGCGTCGACGTATCCGAGTAGTCGTACGGACGGTGTTGTTGCCTTGCTGTAGGTGAGCCCGATCGTCGGCGTGGAGACGAAGTAGAGTAGCGCTCGATTGAGTTCTTCGAGATCTTCCTGTTGCGGCTGCTTCAGATGTGTCGCCAGCTGACTCGCACTATAGGATAGGTCGGGTCGGCAGGTTACTGTTGCGAATAGTAGGCAGCCGAGCTTCTGTTGATACTCCTGGATTTGTTTCGCGGGGAGTTTTGTGGAGGCGCTACTGTTGTTCCCGTAGCGGTAGGGAGTTGGGACCGCAGTCGGTGTTAGACCGAATTTCTTCGCGACGGTGCTTGAGTACTTTCCAGCGTGTAGGTAGAACGCCGTGTCGTCTTCGACGACGTTCAGTCCTAGGTACTGCGTCACCTCGTCGGACACCGTGAGCGTTAGGTCCCTTTTCAGCTCCCCTTCGAACCAGGTGACGATGTCGGTGGTAGAACCGATGTAGAGCAGGTCGTCGACGTAGACGATGAGCAGAATGTAATCTCTTCCCTTCTGTAGTCGGTACATGCCTTGGTCATGTGGTAACTGTAGGAATCCGATTTTTACGAGCCGGCCGTGAAGGTGCTGCTGCCAGAGCCGTGGGGCTTGCTTGATCCCGTAAAGGGATTTTTCCAGCTGGCATACTTTTGAAGGGTCGTCGATGAATCCGTGGGGTTGTTCGACGAAGATTTCGGCGTCCACAGGTGCGTACAAGAAGGCGTTTGCAACGTCGATTTGCCGTAGTGGTAGTTTCTTCGTGGCCGCGATGGCGAGTAGGATGCGCAGGGAGGTGTGACGGGAGACTGGAGCGAAGGTTTCTGTGTAGTCGGTTCCGTATCGTTGATCGAAGCCTCGTACGACCCATCGAGCTTTGAATCGTTCGATGGAGCCGTCTGAGTTGGTCTTGATGCGGTACACCCATTTCCCCGAGAGAATGTTCTTCCCGTTGATGCTCGTTGCAGGTACCAGTTTCCATGTTTCTCGGTCTTGCAGAGCTTTTAACTCTTTTTCCATCGCTTCCTTCCATTGTGCCTTATGTTCCCCCCCCAGAGCCTGCGACAGGGTCGACGGCTCGCGCGGAGAAGGCGGCGGCGGGTGCTGGACGGAGACCCATAGTCCTAGGATCTGCAGTCCCGTGGCTGTGTGTCGAGGGGAGTTTTCATTCTCGGGATAAGCTGCTTCATCACCGTCTTCAGGATCGGGTAAGAAGTTTGGCCCGATGCGTTCGGAAATATTCGAGTCGACGGGGTGTGGTGTAGCGTAGCCTTGGTCAGCGAAGTGGTAAAAGGTGTCGAGGTTGTTGCTATCGAGGGGATTATCTTCATCGAGTGGAACAGGTACGGAGCAGTAGGGGAGTGGTCCGGCAGCCTCCGAGGCTCCAGGGACGTCTTCTTCTGCTGCGTCAGCTTCGGCAGCATGGTCAGCGAAGGAGCGAAGGCCCGCGAAGCCGTCGGTGGGGTCGTCTGAGTTGGCAATGTTGTCCAGGTAATGCTGCAGCGTCAGTCGCTCGTAGAAGATAACATCACGTGATGCCACCGTATTTTTGTCGTGTATGTCGAGAATCTTCCACGCGTGAAAATGTTTGGCGATGCCGAGGTGTAGTCCCCACCGAGCTCGTTGAGTGAAGCGTCCTGCTCGAGCTGTGTGGGGTCTGTATTGTACCATGCAGCCGAAAACTCGAAGTAATTTTGTGCTGCCCCTTTTTCCCGTCCACAGCAGGTGCGGTGATGCGTTGTTGGGGAGCGATGACGAGGACAACAGGTTGTGCAGGTGGACTGCATGTGTCATCGCGTCTGGCCACAGTGTATTGGGCAGTCTCATCCCCAGGAGCAGCTTTCGCATCGTCGTCTGCAAGGTCCGGTTCATGCGTTCGGCGACCCCCTGCTGCTGGTGAGCGTATGGTAGGGACACCAGGCGCTTGATTCCTCTTTCCGCCAGATAGGTCCTGAAGCGTTGTGACTGGTATTCTAGGGCACCGTCTGACTGGAAGCTTTTGAGCTTGGTTCCTGATTCCCGCTCGGCGATGGGGAGCCATGTTGTGAAGGCGTCGAAGGCTTGATCGCGCGTCTTGAGGTTGTAATGCCAAGTGTATCTTGTTGCTGCATCGACGAAGGTGATGACGTAGTTGAAGTCGGCTTCCGTGTCGTCTCGAGGCATGTTCAAGATGTCGCTGTAGACTTTTTCCATCGTTGCATATGCAGGCGCGCTTGGATTATGATGGGATGGGAAGGGTTGATGAGGAAGATCTGCTTCGGGGCACGTGAAGCATCGTGCTCTTGGTCGGCGAAGTTCTTGGCCGCTCGTCGTTAGAAGGGCGTTACGTTCTAACACCTCTGCTTGGATTGTTTGAAGTATTGTGCTGTTTGCAGGGTGTCCGAGGCGTTGGTGCCAGATGTCGTCGGGAGCACGGTGACCGGGCGAGCGGTGGTAGATGTCGGCGTTGGAGAAGAACGCGACGACCGAGGCGGGACTTCGACAAGCTTCTCGTGTGGCGGGCATAAGTTGGTCTGCTTCCGTTGGCGGTCCTCGTGTTGATGGTGGTGGTACTCGGCTGGGTCCTGCTGCCGATACTGCAGGTGATGGTTTTGTTGGGACACTTGCGGGTACTTGTCTTTCTTGTCTGATAACTGCTAATGCTCGTGTTCTCTCTGCTGCAGGTATGGTGTTGGAGTGCCAGAAGCCGTCACTGTCGAAGTCGGGATCAAGATCCGGCGGGTGAGTCCAGGCGGCGAACGATACGATGCCATCGCTGTCGGCAGTTCCGCGGTCGGGGACGAAGTCCAACACGAAGACATCGGACTTCAGGAGGGCACGACCGATGAAGAGGCCGCCCTTCCCGTGGTAAAGTCGGAACTCGTTGGAGAAGGAGTCGCACTCCAGGTGAATCCCCTTAGCCATTAGTTGGCTTACGCTTAGTAGGTTGTATCCCAGATTGTCGACGATGAGGACTTTGTTGAGCTGAAGAATAACGTTTGTCTCCATTGATTGTAACTGAACCACGCCTTGTCTGTTTGTTTTCAGGTTTTCGTTGTTGGCGACGGTGATGACGACGTCGCGGTTGAGGCGTCGCTCGTGTTGTACGAAGCGTCCGGAGGAGCACATGTGCTGACCGCAGCAACTGTCCAAGAACCAGGTGTTCCGCCCGGTGGGTTCGGCGTTAGCGACTGCAGCGTATGTCGGGTTGACCTGAAGTCCTTGCGAGCGCGGCGGCGGGAATTCCTCTTCGTCTGGTGCGTAAGTGGGTGGTGAAGCGGGTGCGCAGTTGTCGATGTGTACCATGCAGTTGATGATGTTGGGTGTTTGTTGTGCAGATGTTGAAGAGCGCCTTGGAGGACTTGCTTGAGTGGAAGCGACTTGTGGGTCTGCTGCACGGTAAACGCGAGGGCGGTTGCAGTTGACCTTGGAGTGCCCGGAAGTCTGACAGTTGTGGCAGAACGGCGGCACGATGGTGAGTCCTCGGTTGTCGCGTTGATCTTGCTTGCTGCGTCGGTTGTAGTTGTTGTCATTTCTTCTTTGAGTGTAGAAGACTAACTGCTGTTGCTTCCTTGGTTGTCTTTCCTCGAACAGATCCATCTCCTGTTGTTCAGCGTGAAGCTCGGCGCAGAGATGCATCTCCGAAATTCTTCCGTGGGCTCGAAGAAGTGATCGTGTGGTTCTCCATTCTGGCCCGAGCCCGGCGAGGACAAGTGTTACGAAGCTTTCTTCAGTGATCGTTCCTCCGCACCGAAGCAGGCGGTCGCGGAGGGTCTGGCAGCGACTCATATACTGCATCGCCTTTTCCCCGGTCTTCATCTGTATTGTTGTCAGCTGTTGCATGAGTCTGCTTTGTGTCACGCTGTCGTTTGCTTGGTAAAGGCACTTGAGGTGGTGCCATGCGAGCTCCGCGGAGTTTCCATAACTCCGATACGTTCTGATGCTCTGCTGCTCTTGTGGTGACAGGTTTCTCAGGAGTACCGTGTACGCCAGCAGCGACTGATACGTGAAGATCTCTTGTTCCTTCCCAGTGCCGTTGCTTGGGAATGGCAGGGACCCGTTGAAGTATCCCAGAAGATGCGCGGCCTCCATCAGCAGCTCGAACTCGAAGCTCCAGGTAAAGAAGTCGTGTCCGTTGAACGGTGAGGATGTCTGAAGTTTGATCACGTGTGAGAAC